GTCCTGAGCAACTGATCAAAGCTCAAGAAGATGTAATTGCAAAGTTACAACAGCAGTTATTAACATCTGGAAAAAATACACATGCTACACATCTCCAGATTGATAACACAATGTTGAAACAGCAAGTCGCTCTTCTTGAAGCAAAAGTTACACAGCTTACACAAATGCTTGATAATAAAACAAATACAGCATTACACAGAGATTACAATTGCTTCAAAGTCCGAATTCTTGACATGCCTTGGACACAAGTTATGCAACCAATTTTGGATCGCATTCCAGAATTGGAAAACATAATTTCATCCGAAGTAATAACAGAATTCCCTGCCATCCTATACACTTTACAAAGGCACATCATTGACATCCTTTTCAACGAAAGAACAAACCCAGGAGTTACAGTTGTACAGACAACACCAACCAACACTCTTCGCCTACAGATAAATCTTAAACATGCCAAGATGACAGACGACGATATTCTAAGTTTCTACCATCATGGTATGATAGATTACTTAGAATTCAGGCCGAGAACATAAAATTTGCTCAACAAGCTCGGAGAAAAGGTTATCTTGACAGCAGGCAATATTGCTACCTATACTGATGCACCCAGCATAGGATGCAAAATATTTTCTTCATTCCCAGAAGCAACAGGAAAAACATACAGGCCAGCACGCAAAAGGATCTTCATCAGTCACCATACAGATGATCAAGCTCGCCTCAAAACCATTGGATGTACAACACAAATAGACGTAAACAGTCTCATATTTCGTCATTAAGACGAAATGACAGAACAGTTTAAAACATGGATATAGGAAGAACAAAAGACACCAGAACTCCCATACAGATTCAAGTGGTCAGACTATAAACTTTTAGCAGAAGGACACTACACACAAATTTGGTCACATTTTAATTGGGACATGCTTTTACCCTTTGTTGGAGAAAGTAATCAGATCAGTATCACAGACATCAACAACAGAGAAGATGACTCAGAAGATGATCCCACCACAAACAATTCCAGAAACACACAGAGACTTCTAGACAAGATAAAATAGCACAACAATGACATCACAATATATGATCTAGAAGACATGATG